TCACAGCCAGTGAGTATCTTTAAATTCTCTATCAAATTCTCCACTTTGTTTAGATCTATTGCTGTGCTTTTTTTTTCCCTGTTCTTTCATTTGGTACATATTTTTCTATCTTTTCATTTGTCTAACTCTCTGTGTCTGTGTCTGTGTCTTCACGTTAGGAAAGTCAGCTATATCTCCTGTTCTTGAAAGTAGTGGCTGCATGAAAAAGTGGTCCTCTAGCTTCCTGCAGCACACTGTCCCCTGTTCATCAGAACCTACTGCTTCAGGAGTGTTTCCTATGTATGTGTGCCCTTCTATTGTGTCTGTGCCACTTTTGCCTTTAGCCCAGTGATCTGCAATGACTCTCTTTGCCTATTGTGGGCAGGGTTTGGTTCCTGTATTGTTGGTGAACAAGGCTGAGGCTGCCTTGGGCTTGACTTAAGTCAGACCAGGAGTTTGCCAGAGATGTGGTAGCACCAAACTGTTGGGTGCTTTGGGGATGGATTCTTGAGAACTGCTTTGTCTCCTAAGGTCTCCACTGCAGACTTCTCATTGAAGAAAGACAAAAGGGTCTGTGCATTTTTGCCAATGTGAGGACATATCTAATATAGTGATATTTCTTATTTGTGCATCTGCTTCAACTGAGCATCCCACACAGGTGGATTAGATCCTGGCATGATGGAAACCATCTGTGTCCTTTTCTTGACAGTGACAAGGAAGAGGCAACTCAGGGGCAACAATGCATCAGTTGCCCCAGAAGCAGGTTTCTCTGGCCTGTGTTTCTTCCATTTTATTCTCTGTTCAGTAGATGTGCTTTGTGCGTCAGCACAAACCTGAAAATGGCTCAGGAGACACTGTATTGCCTCACATATTGACAAAAGCACTATCAAGCTATTAAACATGGTTTCATTTAAATTTGGGTGGAAAAAAAAATTCCTGAGGTAATTTGGGAGATGGTGAGTATAAGGATCTATCGGGCTTTAGTTTTTGGTTTATATATACAACTTTCCTCTGTGAGGTGCAGTGCAGATGAAAAAACCGTGATGTTGCTATCAAGCTGCTGAAAACAGTGTGCCCACCCAGATGGGCCCTGATTTGAAAGACAGGGCACATCCGGCTTGGATCCCCTGTAGACAGGCCTGGCAGTTCTCACACGTGGCTTCATCAAATACAGAAGGTGAGGCATAAGTTGATTAATAACTCATGTGACTAATTCCAGGCTAGCTCTACTCCAAGGTTATGCCTCACCTGATGATTGCATACCCTCAGGAGACTCCCTTTTTCTTCTGAAGGATCTAACAATGCAGTTTTCTGGAGGCCAGGTAACAAAGCAGGATGAAACAGTAGGCTCCAGTCAGTCACAGATCGTGCATTCCAAAAGTTGGAGCAAGATTCTCAAAGTTGGATTGGCTCTTCTGCACTTCCAAAATCTTTTAAATCCTATCAGTGTAATCACCTGATGCTGAAACCCCTGAATACATCCAGAAATTCTACTTTTGTGCAAAGAGAAAAATTTTTAAATGGAGTCAATTTTTAGACAAAACCAGGACAGGATGAGAGAGAGGATCCCAGGGCCTGAGGTCAATAGGGTACTGTGGCTGTCTTATCATTAACACCCTAAACATTTCTATATCTTATATATTCTCATGCATCTTTATCTAACCAGAGACCAAGTTCTCCACACAGAAAATGATGGGGTTTTTTCCAGGGCAAAGTTCCTGCTACTTCCTCTTTATTGCAATTCCCTCCTCCATAGGTGTCCAGGACCCTAACTTCTGCCCTCAGGCCCACCTGGCAATGTCCTTCAGTAACTTCATGTTTCTTTTTAGAAGGAGGCTGGACAGAAATACATATATATCTTCCCTGCTGGTTTGGGTATTTGGGAATATGGCTCTATGAGAGTTTTAGAAAGTTGAACAGATTCACTCAAATTAATCAGTTAATAGCTGCTTAGACTACTACGCTTATTCTTGGGACATCTGAGCTTTAGTATTCTTTTTTTTTTTTTTTCAACGTTTATTTATTTTTGGGACAGAGAGAGACAGAGCATGAACGGGGGAGGAGCAGAGAGAGAGAGGGAGACACAGAATCAGAAACAGGCTCCAGGCTCTGAGCCATCAGCCCAGAGCCTGATGCGGGGCTCAAACTCATGGACCGCGAGATCGTGACCTGGCTGAAGTCGGACGCTTAACCGACTGCGCCACCCAGGCGCCCCAAAAGAAAGACTTTCTAATGGTGATATTTTCAGTGTTAGAAACAAATAAGAAGGGTATTATATCTCAGTAAAGGAGCCTGACTGACATTTATATAGGTAATTTGGTCAGGCTGATCTTAAAGGAAATGGAATAATGAAATCAAGAATATCAGAGCAGAAAGGAGGTATACCTGTGCAAGGATGTTATTTTTGAGTAGAGAAAACAGACCCAGAGAAACAAAATGACTTGCCAAACTGCACCAGAGACATTCCGTGACCTCCATCATTATTTCTGCCCTTGATTCTCTCTTGATATGTAACTACTTGAATCCAGACTACATGTTCTAGCCTCCCTTGCAGCTAGGTATGGTCATATGTAGTTTTGTTCTATGGTAGCAATGGGATATGAATAGGAGGTTGTGTTTGACTATGTGGAAGAGTCCTTTTTTTTTCCACCTTCCTGCTGACTGAAATACTGACTTGATGGGTGGAGACGAGTAGCCACCTTGGACCATGACATGGAAGTCATGTGTTTTCTATTGTGTTCAAGGAAGGCAATGCAATAAAGTAGAAGGAACCTGGGTCTCTGAAACCTGTATTTCTAGGCTGACTACTTTCTAGACTTCTTTATGTATAAGAGAAATAGATAACTGTATTTGTTTAAGTCACTATTATTTTGAACTTTGGTGTTACTCTCAACCATACCTAATCTAAACTGTATCAGTATCAGCTGTATCAGTAGTCTGGAAAAGTCTTAATTGATTCACATGGCTTGATGGAGAAAGGTATAAAGAGTGATGGACAAGACCTGATTTTAAGTCTAAGATAGAATATGCTTTAAATACTTGACATCATGAAATCTCAAATACTGATCCACTAACAGCTGCATAAGAATTACCTGTCAGAGGATCCCACAAATCCAGATTCCTAGGTTCCTTTCCTAGAGATTCTGATTTAGTAGATTTTCTACGAGGCCCAAGAACTTATATTATTAAAAAAAACTCCCCATGTAATCCTGATATCCAGGTACATTTGGAAAGTATTTGATCTAGAATTTTATTTGTTGAGAAGGTGAGTCAGAACCACGAGAAAAAAAATTTTCTCCCCCAAACATAGATGTCTTCATGGACATATGAGAATGAGAGATGGGGGAGGGGCAAATATTTCGATGCTCTGAATTGTGAAATAAGTGATTCCACTGGCCGTTTGGATCCCATCTTCTCACTGCACCCACCTAGGGTCATGCAAAAGTCACACTAACAGGCTACTCTCTGTCAGATTAGCCTTAGTTCAGGTAAACCTACAGTGACATAATTGTATGTGGTTTGTGTTTTTTGTTATTGTTTTAACAGGTAACATTTTCTGTGGGAAGTTTAATCACTTCTAATGTGCATTACTACATATTAATGAATCATAAATGTATTTGTGATGAAAATAACTACCATTAAGGTGCAGGAAGAGTTAGCTTTTTTAAGATTCCAGGGTCTCACACATCACAGGTTGAAGTTTTTGGTGCATATAAAAATCTGCAAGGTCAGCAGATTCCATCAAACAGCTGTCAGCTGAAGTTGTCCTAAAAGCACTTGGGCACTCTAGTGGGTTTTCCTGGCAGCCAAGGTGACAGGCACGGGAAAGTGTTACCAGAAGGCAGATGGTGGCAGGCGTGAGACATTCCCAGCAGCAGTGGATAGAGAGGGATTATACTAAGCAGCATGCCCACACCAAAGTAATCCTTTTACAAGATCCCCCCATCATGTTGACGGTTACAGGCTGCTTGGCAGCTCAGCTCTCCCACCTTCGTCTGGGAAGATAGAGGACAAAGGCCCTCCACCAGAAGGAAGCCTCTCCTTCACTAGGCCCTCTGCAAATCTCAGAAATAAAATAAAATAAAACAGAACCACAGATCCATTCTAAGACAAACTTTGAAAAGAGTGCCAAGGATAGCAAAGATCTAATTCCAGCGGGGTCACCAACTAACCCAGTCTCGGTCTGGGTAAGTCATTCAACTTTCCTTGCCTTTAATTTTCGCTTGTGTAGAATCAAGAGGTTGAACTTGATGGACTATGGATTCCCTTTTAAGAGTTGTACGATTTTTATAACTGTATTATATGTAAGTGGGTGAAAATAAAAGCTTCCCTCTATCAATTATATATTTACTTTTATTTTAAAAAGATAATAGTCCTAAAGCCCAATATAAAATCATCAGACAGACATGCATGCGTGCACACCCTTCAGAACCTGAATTTCTGGAAATCGTTTCTCGGTCGTCTAATCCCTACAAACTGATGGCATCCTGTTGTTCCTGCCAAAAGATTCTATTATGCAAATATTTAGGCTAGGCCTTTTAAACAACCATGAACATTTATTTCACTCTTCCAAGTAACATCATCCGGAGGGCTCAAAATACACCAACGAATGCAGGCACTTATTGACAGTATAGCTATGGGATCTTTTAATCAGTAGTGTTTGAGGCCTAACCCTATGCTTACTGATGGTTTCCTCAGTTAAGCAGAACTACAACCAGAAATGAGTTGAAATTCTTTTACTGGTTATTGTTATTACAAAGTGGTCTTAATCTGTCATAGTGCTTCCTCCATTTTAATCCTTTCCCTTCCGCAGGTGACACTCCAGCAATGAGATCCTTACTTCCTGAACCTTCCACCTAGCTCTGCTATAATGTGTCCTTGATCCAAAGGCCACTGTCCATGCAAAAGTTTTGAAAGAAAAATGGGAGCTCTCGGAAGTTCCAGGACCCATTTGCAGCTCACAGAGCCCCCAGTGGATTAAGTGCCAATGGAATTTAGAGAGGAAAAAAAGTCAAACTTACTTCATCCACATGCCCCACAGCTCCATAGATTCTCGCCATTTGTCCGATGAGGTAGGGGAATCTCTCACCAATCTCTTTCAGCATTGGAAGAAAACTGTTCAAAGCCACAGGTTCATAGCCTGCTATCTCTATGAGGATGTTTAGGATGACATCATTATGGGTTGAGTCTTTCAAATGCCTGATTAGGAAAGGAATACACTTCTGAACCACCTGTGAAAAGAAAAGAGAGAGGAAGAGAAGAGAAACAAAGAGGAAAATTAATTAAATCAGGACTAATTTAATATTTTTTGATTTTATGAAATCTGAAGTCAACACATTCTGGGATTATTGCCCTCATTGGAACTCAAGCAAATACAAGTCTGAAATTTAGAATTTACAATAAAATTTCAGATGCTTCAGTTTGTTTCTCTTTTTCATTTCATCTGTGCTCTGCTATTGAAGAGTAACAACATTACATTATAAAATGTTTAGATGCTGCTATTCATAAGTCAAGTTTTGATATGTTATATCCTCACCAGAATATTAAATTTCCTCCAATCCACCATAAAAGTGCAACTTAAAGGGCAATATAAATATGCAAAAGATACTTGATGACTTCAATGAAAACCTTCAAATTGGAGAAATATGGTTTGGAAATATTTAATAATAAAAATAAGAAAGCAGGAAACAGCCTTTAAATTTTCTTCAATATTCCATTTTGATCACAAAAAAGTACTAAGAAAAAATATTACTAAAGTAAAATAATTTCTACCATATTCCTGACACCCTAATATGGCTTTCTTGATTTTGAATGCTTGTATTAATATAAAGATGCAATAATTCATATTGAAGAAAACGTGACTTTTTGTGGAATAAAGTCACTATGTTAATACATAGACACATTGCACACTGACAACCTAATGAATTGTTTTGTCTGCTAAAATAAAACAATTAGAAAGGACAACCCGTGGAAACTGAACAGTAAAAATAAAAACAATTTGCCCATCTATACTTCTATGCTGATTTTTTAGTTTGTTGTTGGTTTGCTTTTTTGGTTGGTTACTTTTTTGGTAAGGTGGACTTGAAATGTAGCTTCCAGTATTAAAACAGAATCTGATACTCAGCTCAACCTGCTAAATTTATAATCCACCCTTTGCCAAAACCCTGCTTCTCTCACTTCCCTCTCTAGCTTCAAGTGTCTCTTTTCCCCATGAATGGCACCATTATCTACCTGGCTACTCAAGTCAGAAGTCTGGGAATCATTCTTGACTGTTCTTTTCCCCTTATCATTAGCCTCCTCCAAACAACCACCAAGTCCTACTGATTCCACCTCCCAAGTATGCCACAGATCTGTCCACTTCCATTAATTTCCATTCATTTCTCCATTCACTTATTTACAAATATTTATTGAGTCCTTCCTATTTGCAAGGTAGTATTGTAGGTGCTAAAGCTGCTAATAAGTCTAGCAGATTCCTGCCATAGTGGAATAATTCACTGCCTAGTAAATGAGACATTTCATGAAACGAGTAATTTTAATAGAAATGCATAATTATAAATTTTAATAAATGCCATATAGCAAAATACAAGGTGCTGTGACAGACTATCCTGGGGCCCTAGGTTAAGCTGGCATCAGGGAAGTACTCTCCCAGCAGGCACATCTAAGCTGAGACCACTGATCCAATTATCCTGAACTTGGGTTATTCCAACAGCTTTCTAACTCTTCTCTCTGCCATCAGTCTTGTCCATCCAATTCCTTCTCTACCTTGTGGCCTCAATAGCAACCCTTCCTCTGCTTAAAATAGTTCACTGATTTGCCATCGATCTCAAGATAGAGGCTTAACATACCTTTTCCAAACTGATGCCTATCCATTTTTCTAGATGTATCCCCCCATCCAGATCCCATCAGATATCATACTTCAACCCTGTTGATTTTTCCAAAATGTTTTCTTGACCTGCTAAGATTTCTCTTGCATCTAGGGTTGTACTCACGTGATTCACTCTGCCTATAATTCTTATTGCCCCTTTTTTTCTGGATACTCCTTCTCATTCGTGAGGCTTTGGATTAGCTGTTGTTGCCTTTAAAAGCTTTCCTCCACTCCCTTCTCTTTCCTCCTCAATCCAGTGCCCTGGCTGAAGCCCCTATCACACCCTACATGGCTCCCAGCAAACCCTTCTCATGCCTTCTTCATATTGCTAGTCTAGATGTTTGTTTTGCAGGCTGGATTAAAAACTCTATAAGAGTTTGTACCCCATTGTATAGCCAAAGCCTAGCACAGAGCCTGGCCAGAAACTGAGTCAATAAATATTTGAGGAACAAACCAAATGAAGAAACATCTAAATGGTTTTACAGGCTAGCATTTGAATAACCTCCACACCCCACCCCATAGTGTTGAATAGTTGTACATAATGTTTTAATGGATATATTGTCACATGTCATATACAACATAACTAACAGGGACATGAAAGCAGACATTTTGAGAGGACTAAAACTATCCTACATATAAATTTAAATTGGATATTCATATCCAGTACTTATGGAGGAAGGGCCAGGGCTAGTTTCTGGTATACAGCGTACATGATTGAACAGGTCTACAAATGTTGCCTATGCATTTGGGAATGGTTGTATGTCCTTCCGGAGAAACCAAGAGAGATCCCTGGCACATAAGGTAGAAGTGTCAGCCAGCTGCTCTAGGTCAGGGCAGCATATTTAACCTGAGTCTTTTAGTAATGGAAAATGCTTACACATTTCCTGCCCCATTGTATAAAATTCTATTTCCTAGTCCTTACCCTTCATGTCCTATTTCTGGAACACGAAGGTCTCTGTGACATGTGCTTCCAGTCATGCCAATTTTATTTAAACTCCAGCCATACATCCCAAGCCCATACAAGAGTATACTATATGTACTGTACCATAAAGAAAAAGAAAAAGAAAAAGAAAGAAAGAAGAAAAGGAAAAGAAAAGGAAAAGGAAAAGGAAAAGAAAAGAAAAGAAAAGAATAGAAAAGAAAAGAAAAGAAAAGAAAAGAAAAGAAAAGAAAAGAAAAAGAAAGAAAAAAGAAAGCTGGCTCGAGACAAATATATATGCTTAGGCACAGTTAAATCCATTGAAGCAAAGAGTAGAGAAGACTTGAATAGTGTAAATAAAGTAATTTTACTGATTAAACAAAAATTTATTATTTTGTGGTTTCCTGATAACCCAAAAGCTTGTCATGATGGTGACAGAAAAGACAGATATTTCTTGAACTTTATCACACACATGAAAGGAAAGCGGTGCTTTGGGCTTTAGACAGATGATTCTTAGATAAGAAGGAATTTTATTTTCTAAATACAGGCATTTCCTCAGGCTGGTCTCTTTCGTGCTGGGGAGCTGCTTCATATCTCAGAGAAGGCCTTATCATCACTGAGAGCAGAGCAGCCACTAAGCATAGATGTCTAGCAGAGGGCAAGCTGACACGGCCTTTGTTGAGACCATAACCTCATGGCATGGACCGCCGAAAGAGCTTCCAAGCTGTCCTATCTAATCATGTCAAGACTTCAAAGGTTTGTCATGGCCTACGGCTGGGATCCCAATGCCATGGCATTCCAGCTGGGATCCCAATGCCATGGCATTCCAGGGTCTTCACTGACTGGCATATCTACTGCCTCTTCCACCATGAACTCTGACCCAGCGACATGCCACCAATCACCCACAGTGGCTTAAACATGGAGAGGATGCTCATGCTTTCAAAGCCCATCTCAAAGAGCTCTACTTCTGGGAAGCCTTCCCCATAGCCCACCTTAATACATGCAGGACCTAGGGCTAGAGTGCAAATAAAGGGCCCTACACCGCACACTCAAATACTCAGGTGCTACCCTCTACCTGACACATGTACCTTTATAACAATCTTGGAGGCCTGATTTGAATTTGGAATTTTTGGCCTGTATAGAGGGAACAGAAAGAAATGACCTCTAGGCCCCATTCCTTGCCCCTCTCTTCTCTTTCTATTCCTGGCTTTGTCCTGTAAGGAGTCTTGTATGCATGTATATGAATACCCCAGCCCACAAATTCAAGTTCATCTAAAACACCCCTCAGGCCTGTGGGGTCATGCTGTTGGCACGGCCTGTCCTTGGGAGAACAGATCCAGAGGCCAGGCCTGTTGACGCCTTAGAAGGAGGACAGAGATGTACAGGAAAAGAATTCCAAGGTCCCAGTGACCTGGACTACATTTATTAGGTGACAGAATGTGTGGAAACTGGGGGAACATGTAGATGAGGGCCAGACCAGGACCCTCTAAAGTAAATAGCCCAGGCAAGGCACCTTCCCTGGCTCTCCATTCCTTCCTGAGTGGAATTAACCGCTGCCTTTTTTGTGCTCTCAGAGCAGTCTGCTGACAGTTTTAGCATCTTGCCACTGAACTGAAGTTTTGTGGACATATCTCATCAGCCCAGGCCATGGGGCCATGAGGGTAGGGCCATCTGAAAACATAGCACCATAATACATAGCAACTTAATTAGCAGCAAATGACATTTAAATTTTTATGTATATAATAAAAGGTAGAGCTACTGTGTGTGTGCACATATGTGTACATGTGTGTGCATGTACTCCCTCTTAAATTTTCCTTGGGCTCAATTTTCTCTTGTAATTGATTTGGCCAGCATTAACAATTTCTATTACTCTTCGAAACCCTATAAAATAACTGCCACTCTTTTCATTTACTAATTACTCCCACCATAGTGACAAAATATATATACTGAAAATTATGGTTCTGCTCCAAAGACTGTTGTAGAACAGTCTATATATTCCATCACTCCATCTTCTTAATGTTCTGCAAATGGCTTATTTTAAATAAATACCAAAAGTGACCTCTGAGTATTGTCAGCATGATGATGCTGTGTTAGGTGCCTCAGGATTAGGTATGTGAAGAGGAATGCTGTAAGCTTGAAAATCCAAGAAAATGACTCTCTGCTCTAGGGACCAGACCACAAAAGCAGTTCCTCTGGGTTTGGACATTAATCAACGGAGGGCTGAAGTTGCTATTTTCTGCCACTCATCTCTGTACGGTTGGGGCTAGAAGCCCAAGTCCTGGGGATAATAACAGATGGGCTCTTATGTGTTACTAAATGCTGTTCCTTTTGTTGGCTAGGTTACAGCATGGTTTATAGCAGCCAAGAATACAGACTTAGCCCCAAAAGGCCACTTGGAAAATTGACCACCCAGCCTTTTCCTATAAATGAACCCTGAGGATTCTCTG